TGCCAAGACATTGGGAGTCTTCGAGGGATGCCAGGCCCACAGCTGTTTAAAGGAGAAGACGCCTCCCGGAGCTGACAGAGAAAGCCTTCTTTTCAGTTGGTGCCTTAAATTTGGATTTCTGGTCTTCTGAACTGTGAGAGAGAGTACTTCTTTCTGAAAGCCACCTATTTGAGTCTATCCATTGCTGCAGCACTAAATTACTAGGCCAAACATAGCATGTCCCCCAAAATGCCCTTTACCTATAGATCAGAGTTCCTCCTGCCATTTCAAGCCCCTCTTCCCACCCGCCACCTGAGGCAACTACGGATTGCTACTCTCGTCATAGATTAGGTTGTGTCCTCTAGCATTTTAAAATAAAAGGAAATCATGAGCTATGCCCTCATATCTTTATTCTTCATATAATGGGGTTTAAATGTTTATTTGTCCGAAGCAACTTGATTATAATGTGCCTTGCAATTTTCTTCATATTTCTTGTGCTTGGGGTTCATTGAGCTTGGGTCTGTCGTTTTATAGTTTTCAACAAATTTAGGAAATACTGGACCATGATTTCATCAATGATTTCTGTGACAGTTAGGTTTATTGTGCCAACCTGGCCAACAGGAACATGTGGGATTAATCAGGTCGCAGTTTGATTGGAGAGCAAAGAGATAAATGGCTTTGCAAGGCCTGCCCCGTCTCTCCTGCTCTCTGGTCAGTGTGCTGCTGCTTTAGCTAGTTCTCTATCTCAGCCTCTTGCTACACCACCTGTGGGCCAACCCTTTCTGTGGATTGTGGATCGTAGCGCTAGTGCTCAATGCTCCTTTGAGATCTGCTTCTTTGCCACACTCTTGATGGGGTACATAGCTTGAGCTTGAGACTGGTGGACCCTGTAGCCTTGTATTACTTGAGTTCAATATCCTATCCAGGCCTGCTTCTGTTGCTGACCCACCCTTGTGATTGCTGCCTGCAGGCAGACTCTGCTGTCTCTTTCCTTGATCTTGGACCCTGCAGCTCATGTGAATCAAAGGGCTTCCAGTATATTAACTGTTCCATGAAATTGAGTTGAACTGAGCCCTTTGTACTGCAGTGTGGACTAATTAGCTGTTATATTTCTTCTCGCTGTATAACCCTTTATCTGTCTGTCTATCATTATAAGTGTCCTGGGACGCTGTCTCCTGAGCTAGTTGTGAGGATGTTGACCTGTGTTAGCTGTAGTCCATATGCCTTCGATCTTCATCAGCAACTGCGTCAAGCTGCCTTCATTGTCAGCAGCAGGGGAGGCCGCGTAGTCGGCCTTTTGGAGGTTGTTCACCAGTCTTCCTTCAACCCAGACGCCTCCTGTTCTTCATACCGTGCAGCTCGTTGGCGCCCCTCTCAGCATGCAGATGCAGGAAAGGAGGGTGAGGAAGGGACACGCCAGATGCACACCCCTTTCCCGCTTTTCAGCCACAGCGTGTCCCCTCGTTCGGTGTGAACGATGCCTGCTCGGTCTGCCTGCAGGCTCTGCTGGAGCGTGAAGCAGTGTTCTCTGATCCCGTTTTTGCGGTGTGATGATCCACATAGCTGAGCGTGAGCCTCGGTGAAATACGAGGAAACACCTTCTTGGTAATCTCGGCTTTCAGCCCAGATTCTGTGTGACGTCAGCAGTGATAGCCCTTTCCACCTCCTCTTCTGAATCCAGCTGGAATGCTTGGCAGCTTCCTGGTGACCTCCCACGGCAACCGCTATGGAAAGGTCGGTCTCCAGCAAAACGTGACTTGCATGTGCTGCTGATGCCGTGCTCTGCTGCCTTACCTCGGACTGCAATGGGCCCGGACAGGGATATCTTCCAGTTGGTTGTCTGGGTAAGCTGGCTTCGAGAGTCCTTGGCACAGGCTGGTGAGTGCTTCGATGCAACAATGACACTGTAATATCAGACCTTGATATTGGATGGAGTCATTTTGACTAAAGGGAATTTGAAGGTAAAGTAAATTGCTCTGTGTAATCAGTTCTATAGATTAGGAGCTTAAAGACTAAGTCTAGAATAATGAAGTAAGTGGTATCATTACAAAACCGTGATTATTGACTTAGAATCTCTTTGATCCAATTTATTTACTCACATTCCTCTGTTATCAATTCCTCTGTTATGTCATTTTTGTAATACCTCCTCAAGCCACAAGAGGGTGGTATGGCCACACAAAAAGGAGCCTTCTTCCCCATGTCACACTTGTCTTTCCAGAAGAGGAAGTTTGTTTGCTTCCTTCCTTTAAAAATGAGAGACAAAATGGCTGTACTCTGTGACTCCCCTCTACGTAAAAGAACTTATTCTCATCTTCCCGGCTTGTTGTGACTTTAAGCTGGGGTTCAGCAAGAAGTACATCCTGCAGCAACGCTCCTGGTTTTCAGATGGCTGACTGGTGCCTACGGACCCCGGGGCCCTCACTTGTCTTGCTCTCTCCCATTCTTGGCGAGAACATTCTGGAACCCGGGACAGAGACTGTCCAGGGAGTGGAGCAGCGTCAGTGTCACCATGCTTGGCAGTCCCACCCGCCCCTCTGCCCGGCTGCAGTCGCGTCTGTGTGCCCACACCGTGAAGCTGGGTGCGCTCCTCTGTGAGGCCACGCTTACCCTGGCGGGGGCTGTCTTCAAGGGTTGTCCAAGGAGCTCTGACATGAGAGGTCAGCGGAATCAAGTACTTCCAATTCATGCTTTCTGTAGAAAACTTGAAATTCGTGTTAGAATTATGTGGTGCCAGCAGTTTGTGATCAGCCTAAAAGCTAGTGGTTTGAACCCATCCAGCCGGGCTGTGGGAGAACTGGGTGACCTGCTTCTGAGCAGATGACAGCCGAGAAAAGGGTGTGCCATAGACACAACACATGGACTTCCCTGACCATGGTGTTGAGATTTTAAGAAACCTAGTTAGCACTCCCTGAGAGATGCTGTACTGACAAGACACATGGCACTACACTGAAAGACCCCATGGAGGAGCCACGTGGAGACCCCTGCCAGTGCTGAGATGCTTCCACCGTCACTGGATCCACAAGACTCTCCACCCACGGGCCTGTGATCTTCCTGCATTCGGTGTCACTGCATGTGCTTTGTGAGTCTGAAGAGGACTTTATAGATTGGTATCGGACATATGGGCAACTATCAGACTTATGTACTTGATCTGGACTGGGCTGGGATGTTTTCTCAATATTCAATTGCACTTGTATATAAACCTCTTTCTTGTACACATGCACACACAAATACATAGTTAAATATATTGGAGTAATTTTTTCACTTTTCAACCTAGAGAACTCAGCCTTCTACATTTTCTTGTGCTTAGTATTTGCTAATTAAAAGCCTTTTTGGTATCTCTCTTTTTCCTTGATCCATTCTCCACTGCCCTGTGATGTGTTAGGGGCCTGACAACGATGTAGGAGCGAGAATGGCTTTCTTGTGTGTGACACAGTGCGTGGTAGATGACTGCATACTGCCCCACTGTGACCTGTCGCCTGGCAGGCACAGTGTTCAGTCAGCTGTGGTTCCCGCAAGTGTATTGACTCCCCGCATTTTCCCCTTGAGCTCCTGGGTGAGTCTGGGTGGCTGATACTCCCACAGACTGCGTATTGTGGGAGGAGTAATTGCTCACAGCTTCTACTGAGGCCTTATTTGCTAAACGCTTCATTTCACCTAGAGGACACAAAATGTGTACCGTAGTCTCTTTGGGACTGAGGAAGTATAGTGGAGACAGACAGAGGCCTATCTCATGGGCCTGCATGCTATTAGAGCTAATATTAGTCACATGTGTCTGTGCACACGTTGTATATATAGATGTATGGCAAGCTGTGATGACTGCTGTGAACGAAACAGGAGCTCTGGAGGTGCACTGGGGTCAGTGTTAGGCTACGAACCTCAAGGTCAGCAGTTTGAAACCACCAGCCGCTCTTATAGGGAGAAAGATGAGGCTGTGCTCCTGCAACATTTACAGCCTCAGAAACCCAAAGGGCAGTTTTATCTGCCCTATAGGCTCACTGTAAGTCAGAATCTACTCAGTGGTAGTGGATTTGTCTTGGGTTTTTTTATGTGTATGTGTGCTAAAAATTAGACAACACTTGTATTCTAGCAAGCAATTTTTAAAAAAAGTTCAGGATTATTATTAGGTGAGCAGTGAGGCTCAGAAAAGCGAAGTAAGTTGCTCAAGGTTACAGAGTGTGAAGATGAGACGTGGGACCCAGTCTGTCTGATTCAAAAGAATATGTAGCTCAGCACTCAGCTAGGCAAGCTGGGTTTTATAGAACTGAAATTTGAATCCCTGAAAGCAGACACTCTCGCATTGGTATGTCCTGTTTCTGGTTCTCTAGGGAGATTTTCCATCAGTGTAAACCGAGGACTTATTCTTGCCGAGAACTCTTCCGGTGACTGAATGTTAGACTCCAAACGCAGGGTTATTGGGACCTCTTTGGTGTCTGGTGCCTTTTCTGTTTGTTTCAGGCCGAGACTTAGCACTCACTTGACTTCATTGTTGATTCTTCCCTCGTTTTTGCTGGTTTGCACTTGCTTTTGAAGAAATTTCTTTTTTATTTCTTCCTTCTCCCCTGCGAATTCCCAGATTTCAGTTAAATACTTGGGATATCAAGGTCATACAATAAGCACTTGCACACCCATTGCCATCCAATCAGTTGTAACACATAGTGACTCTACAGGGTTCCTGAGGCTGTAAATCCTTACAGGAGCAAACAACCTCATCTTTCTTGGGTAGAGCAACTAGTGGGTTTGAATTGCCGACCATCTAGTTAGCAGTCCAGTGCCCAACTTCTTAGTATTTGAGAGGATTACAAAAGAACAGCGTGGAAGAGACTGTTTCCTTCTGGTACGTTCCTCATTCAGTCGGAGGGTTTACGTGCCAGGGAGAAGGTCCTCTCGATCACTCTCTCCCTTGGTTTCTTAGATTTCTGATGCCCAGTGTTCTAAGACGCATTCTTTCCTTCTCTGGGAAGACGGTGTTGACACCTTCCTCTGGTTCCACGTTTGAAGTCACAGTGTTGTCTTTTTTCTAGGAGCAGTGGAGACACCTGGATTCTACTCAGAAGGAACACTACTGGGACCTCATGCTGGAGACCTATGGGAAAATGGTCTCAGGAGGTGCGGGCCTGCTTCACCCAGTGGAGGGCGGGCAGGACGTAGGTGGATGTTCAGTTTCTTTAGCTTGAAGCTCTGAGGGTGAAGCGAGCCGTCAGCAACCCAGCTGGGCAGGGGTGCGGTGCAGCTAGCAGAGCTGTAGCGAGCACTCCCTGGCCTTGGCTGTCTGGAGTATTACCCACGCACCTCCTGTGCTCTCCACAGAGGCCTGGGAGGAGGGTGATGATGCAGTAACTCCCTTAAATCTCTAGTGACCTCTGACGTGGTGATGTTAGTTCCTTTTTAACGAGCATGAACGTGTCGGGTCCATCCCTCGTAAGTCCTGAGTCAGGATGGAGCTCGGGGTCGTTGGCTGTGAGTCCATGCCCTTTCCCACTCGGCCACAGGACCCGTGGGAAACGGAGGTGTGGCCCAGTCATGACCCTGGTCCAGCCTCTCAGGGCTCAGGTGCTCAGACTCTGCTGCTCCTGTTCAACATACTGCTGTTGGACAAGCCGCGCACAGCTTTCTAAGGTGCGTTTCTAGAGGTGGTCTTCAGAGCCTTAGGATGCCCCTGTGAAC